CCTTCTGCCAGGAAGGGCTGGAAAACAACACTGGTTAGTTCACTTTATTATTATTATTTTTTCTCATAACCCTGCCTCCTTCCCTCACCTTTCTTTCCCTCCTCCCCATTTCCCTCCTCCAGCTTTTCCCTCCCATCTCAAGAAGGTCCTTCCCTGTGGCTGTCCAGACATAGTCTGAGCCTAGGTCACTTAATTCTTATAAATCACTTCTATTTTAAAACTTATTCTTGAAAGGCAAACAATAGCCCCTGGCTCCCTGTGCTTGTCTGTAGTCCCAGAGACTCAAGAGGCTGAGGCAGGAGGACAGCCTTAGCAATGTACTGAGGCCTTAAGCAATTTAGTGAGGCCCTGTCTCAAAATAAAAAAATTAAAAGGACTGGGGCTATAGCTCAGGGGCAAGACACCCCTGAGTTGAATCCACAGAACCAAAAAAAAAAAAAAAAAAAAGATTTTGAAGTGTTATTGTTCACTTCCCATTTTAAGCTAATTAAATGCCATGTTTTTGTCCATTAAATAAAAATATTTTACTTAGGTAAAACAATCCATAAAACCTGACCAAAAAAAAAAAAAAAGGATCCCCCCATTCTCAGAAATAATGGTGACAATTTTTGACAATCATTTTTCCTGCCTTTTTGCCCTCATTTTTTTCTCTAATATAAGTTTGTTCTATCTTATTTTGTCTGAATTGAGGTTTTGGTCTGTGCATTGGTCTCTTCAGCTATCTTTTCTCAAAAACTGGGTATCTGAGGGTCAATTCTCAAACTTGCCTGAGACTGAAGAGAAAACTGAAGAGATTTAAAAATGCCCTTGGAGACTGAGCTATTGCAGGTAGAACAGCTTAACTCAAGGCTTACGTGAAACTTGCAAATGAGAATCTCAAGTTCTATACAAACATGTTTACGTCTATTAAATGTGTTTTTGGAAGTCATTGATGTATAGAAACAGTTCAAGATGGTTTTCCTCCTGGGTAGTAAATATAAGACTATTGGGAGTTAAAATTTGAGTTAATGTGGGTCATTCTATATGCAAAGAATGCCAAAAATTTGCAGTGTGTTTTGATGAAAACAAAACAAAACCAAACCATGGGGGTTGTGGGAAAGAATGTAAAACCCTTACATTCTTGCTTGAATTTTCTGAAAAAGTTAAAAAAAAAAAAAAAAGAATCCTTGTACTGAACCCTTGCACAATGCTCTACTTCCATCTTGAATATCGATATTTTCTGTACTTGGAAATATATTTTTGCTTCCTTAACTGTTAACCTGCTGTGCTGGGTACTGGCATCTGGCCTCATCCCTCCACAAATCTTTCCCCCTTCTCTTCCTGCTAACATTTAAGTACCAGTTTTTATCCCTGAAAAAGATGAGGAAAATAGATGAACTCTGTGTTACAAGAAGGGTTGAATAAGATTAAGTAAGAGATGGCACGTAACAGTTAAACAGTTCATTCGTAGCTACCATTACCACGTAATTAGCTAAAATCTATTTTGCATTTAATTTTCTCCAGGTGCTGCCATAATTAGCTGAGTGAAAGATGAACTGTGTTTTGAAAATAAAGCATGCTGTTGGAGTCTGAGGAATAGAGGCCCAAACTGAGCCCTCTATGCCTCTAGGTGTCAGATATTTGAAAGGGAAATGGTAGTAGTCTCAATACAGCAGGAAAGCAAGAGGGGTCCCCCCAGGGCTCTAGGTTATAATAAAATAGGTACAAATTCCCTTTCCATCCTTTCTCACCGCCCAGCAACTGGTGCGAGGACCATATCCCACACACTGAAAATTCAGCTTATCTTGTACAATCTGTGTGGTTAATAATGGTTGCTGGTCTGTGTGATTCTGGGGGTGGGGAATAGATGAACTTTGTGTTCATCTAGTTTTAGCTGATGAAAGAATTTGAGGGATGGAGGTAGCAGGGCTCACCTTCGTGGCAAAGTCAGAGATCTTTTCTGAAAAGCTAATGGCCACGTGGACAGACCCCTGGGTAGCAACGCTTTGTTTTAGATCTTGGTTCACATTCTCAGGACCTTGATTAACAGAACACAAGAGGTGACCTAATGAGTTGATCCACAGACCGAACCCTTGGGATAGTGTATGGAGCTGGAAGGCCAATTTGTTACTGGATACCATAAGAACTGGACATTCAGGGGCGGTAACCATACTTCTTTCTATTAAGAGTCATGCACTAGGCAAGGACATTCAACTCATCCAGGAGTTGTTTGTGCCTAACCGCTAAACAGTGGGATTGAGTCGAAGTTATTAATGAGGGAGAGGTGGAGACAGGGTGGGCTAGCCACCTTGTCACCAAAGATAGTAGGTTATCATCTACAGAGACAGAGACCCCAGGCTTTGCTTCAGTAATCCCATCCCATCTACAGATGTACTTCTATTGGTTTCCTAAGGCAACTTAACGAAGTACCACAAAACAAGTGGCTTAAAACAATTGAAATTTATTATTTTACAGTTTTGCAAGCCAGAAGTCTGAAGGGCAAGGTATACACAGGATTGCACTTTGAAACCTACAGGGGAGTGTCCTTCCTTGTCCTTCCTAGCTTCAGGGTTCACGGCAGTCCTTATGTGCTTTGGTTTGTGGATGTATCACTCCAATTTCTGTGAGCACATGGCTGTTTTCTTATTGTGTGTCTCTCACTTCTTCTTGTAAGGACACTGGTCCTATTGGTTTAAGGGTCTACCCTACTCTAGGATGACCTTACTGTACTGAACTGATTACATCTGCAACAACCCCATTTCCAAATAAGGTCACATTCTCAAGCAGTGGGGTTAGAACTTCAGTGTATCTTTGGGGGCCACACAATGTGATCTATAAAAGTATTTTTGGAACTTTTCTTTGAGCTGTGTGAGTTTTTGTACTAGGAAGTCACCAAGCATTATGTGTTCATTGGTCTTATTCTTTGATGACATCAAGAAAATACTAGACTTATTTTTAGCTGAGACAGTAATTTTTGATAACTTGTTAGAAGCAGAGACTGATACATAGTTCTGGAGTATCTACTAGGAGATTTTTAATCAGCTTTGAGTCTCTGTGACCAAAATACCCAAGAAGACCAACTTAGAGGAGAAAAAATTTATTTTGGCTGATGTTTTCAGAGTTGTAGTTCATGTTGGCTGCTCTAATGCTCTGGGCCAAGGTGAGGCAGAACATCAAGGTGGAAAGGCAAGGTGGTGGAGAGCTGGCTATGTCCTTCAAGAAGGCCAGGAAACAGAGAGGGGGAAGGGGCAGCAAGAAAGAGGAATCCTTCCAGGATACACCCCTCCAATATACCTTCTCCAGCCATATCCCACCTGTCTACAGTGAGCACTCAGTCCACTCAAACTATGAAGGATGGCAGAGTGTGGTGACAGCCTCTTGAGAGGCCAAAGCAGGAGTACTGGGAGTTCAAAGCCAGTCTCAACAACTTAGCAAGACCCGGTCTAAAAATAAATTTTAAAAAGGGCTGGGGACCTGGCTCAGTGTTTAAGTGTGCCTGGGTTCAATCCCTGGCACCTAAAACAAACAAAAATACCCCATAAAAACCAAAACCTAAGAAGGACGAATTAGGTTAAAAATAATCATAATCCAACCATTTAGCTTCTGAATATTCTTGCATTAATGCAGGAGCTTTGGGGATGTCTCATATCCAAACAATAATGCTTATTAATGAACTTTAGCTTATAGATGATAATTTGAAAATTGGCCTTTATAATCTTAAAAAAAAGTCTTTTGGCTTTTCAGGACTATCTTATCTCTATCCTATCTATCCCCTCCACTCCATTTCCCTCCTTCTCCTATGACCACCTTTGGTAAGGATGCTACACACATAATTTTTTAGATTTTTAAAAATTGAGGCATAATTACATACAATAAAACAGAATGGCATGTGACTTTATGCCTTTTTTAAAACACAAGACTTTGTAATTTGGTCTCCATTTTATTTTTCTAGATTAATTTGCTTTTCCTCTCAACTACCAACATAAGCTTTACAGAGCTGTCCCTCATTCACATTCTCTAAAGTGCTGTGTATTTCAAGGTAATTTTTCCTGGGCTGGAATGGATTTAGCTGGCATAAAGAGTCTCTTTCAAGACCCAGATACTTCTTTGAAGTTTCCCCTCAACACTCTTAGAGAATGCAGCTCTTTTGAAACATTTAAAAATATATATTTATTTTTTAGTTGCAGTTGGACACGATACCTTTATTTTAATCATTTTTATGTGATGCTGAGGATCGAACCTGGTGCCTTATGCATGCTAGGCAAGCACTTTACTGCTGAGCCACAACCTCAACCCCTCTTTTGAGACATTTTATATGGTTCTTTTTCATGTTCAGTTATTTTTTAGTACATATGCATTCCTTCTGCAAGTCAGAGTTGGGGTGTGGTGTACCTTGTGTTTCTGTGTATCCCGAAGCGCTCTCTCTCTCTTTCTCTTCTCTCTTTCCTCCCTCTCTCCCTCTCTCCCTCTCTCTCTCTCTCTCTCTCTCTCTCTCTCTCTCTCTCTCTCTCTCTCTCTCTCTCTCTCTCTCTCTCTCTCTCTCTCTCTATATATATATATATATATATATATATATATAAATGTTTACGGTCAATAAGTGACAATCATTATGCATATATGTGTTTCAGAGTTTTCACAGTGCATCCACAGGATTTAATTTAATTTAATCCTAGTTCCATAAAACAGTAATTACACCGCCCCAGCACTTCTACTGAGTGTGGAGACAGAGGCTTAGTGTGTTGCCCCACGCCGCCGAAACGGAACTGGAGTTGGTCTTCGGACTACAAGTTCTTGGCTTTAGCCACSTCTTAGCTCCTGCAGGCCAGCGCGACTTGACGCCACGACTTGAATCTGGTCCAGGTGCAGGMATGCTACAGGCCTCGCGCGGCCTGAACCGGGCCGGGATTGCGTCCCAGACGGCAGTGGGGCAAAGCCTCAATGAATGGTTGAGGCCGGCGGCCAATATCCCTGCTAGGGGAGCGTGCGGGCCAATCGCAGGCCGGAGGGGGCGGGTCCTCCCGCGCTCAGGATGGCGCGAGCTGAGTAGCGGCTCGGAGGAAGCTCTTTGGAAGCTGTGGCCGGCCGACCTGCTTCCGCGCCCTCCCGCGACCCCATTGCTACCGCGCTGGCACCGAGGGCGGCCGGTGACGCGGAGGCGGCACGTGTCCCACACCCGTCTGCGGCCGCGCTAGGGTACCGGGCCTGGCTCGCCCGCTGGCCGGCATCGCCCGCGGCTGCCACCTGTGGAGGGCGCGGCTGCCCTGCGGGCCCGCGGGCCCGCGGAGGGGGCTCGGCGACATGTGTCCCGCGCTGCAGGACCCGCTGCAACCCGGTAAGGCGCGGCGCCCCGCTCCGGCGGCCTCTCGCCGCGTGCCTCTGCGCCCACGCCCGCCCCGGCCAGGACTTTACGCCGTGGCGTAGGCCGCCTGCTGTCCCCAGGAGCGCCGCCAACTTGGCTCTCGGGTGTGCGCGGACCTCGCGGGCTCCAGGGAAGCCAGAGCCGCTGCGGGAACCCCAGGACCCCAGGGCCAGACCTGCTGTCTGTCTTGGCTCTTTTCTCTCTCTCTCTCTCTCCCTTTTTTTTTTGGGGGGGGGGCTGGGTATTGGACTCCGGGCCCTCCTGCTGAGGCTGGTTTATGAATTTGCGATCCTCCTGCCTCAGCCTCAGAGTCACTGGGAACGTAGGCGCGAGCCACTTCGTCTGTTTTAAACATTTTTAAGTTTTGGCTGGTGTTGCAGATCTGAGAGGAGGGGCTCCCAGGGGTTTAAATAGCCCCTTTGGGCCCACTCTGGGACTCAGGGCGGGGAGTGGCACTCTCAAGTATCGTGATGTTGCTGGCTCTGGGGTCAACAATGAGAAAATGCTAKATACGCACAAGAACAGACCACAGTTTCAGTCTTGTAAGGAACTCTGGGTCTCATAATTTGTGGGCAAAAACATTATAGAAATGTGTGGTAGGAGATGTAGAAACAAGAGAATTAGTAAGAAGGACAGAGAAGTAACTGTTTTATGAGGCGAGGATGTTCAGCTCCAGAAGGAGGATGAGTACTGAATGAATAATCCAGAAGGAAGTTTATCCGAGGGTAGCTAATGACTTCGGGTAGCTGGTGACTTCGGCAGGACTAAGGTCTTGATAAATGGACCTAGTAGAAATGTCGTTGAAACGAATGGAACTGTGACTGAGAAACACAGCACTGATGCTTTAAAATTAGACCTGTCTCCAGCTGGCACTCTTGTAATCCCAGCAACTTGGCAGGAGGATTGCAAGTTCAAGACCAGTCTCAGCAACTTAGTGAGACCTTCAGCAACTAAGCAGCACTGTCTCAAATAAAAAATAATTAAGGTTGGGAATGTAGTACAGTGGTAAAATGCGCCTGGGTTCAGTCCCTGATACCAAAAACAAAACAGAAAGATCTTTCTGAAAGGGGTATCATAGTTATCTGAATAATCTCTTACTCATGGCTTTGGGCTTCTTCCTCRTTTATTTTAAAAAAGGAAATAGTATTACTCCTTAAGCTGAATGTAGGTAATAGTAGCAGCAGTATGTCTCTGAATATTTAGAATACTTTGAATAGTGAGTGAGTTGTTTTTTTTTTTTTTTTTTTAATACAGAAAATGACAGGAAAATTGTTGGGTGGATCTAGCCCAGTCCCCTCATTTTATTGTCTTCTGCTATTGAGCACCCTCAAGTTTAACCAAGCATAGGGCCCTTAAAGAGCTCTGAGTCAGGACTGTGGGCTAGAAAACACCTTTCATGTATTCCTGCTTCTCTGTATGTTAGGATTCCAGTTAGGTTTTAACTTCCTAAAACCCTTAGCCACTTACTTGGGTCCAGTCTTTTCTTTTTTTCCCCTGCTTTATTTTTCTTCGTGTACACACACACACACACACACACACACACACACACACACACACACATACATAGTTAGTTGTAAATGGACACAGTACCTTAATTTATTTATTCTTATGTGGTGCTGATAATTGAACCTAGTGCCTCACACATGCTGGGCAAGTGCTCTACCACTGAGCTACAAACACAGCCCATAATGTTGAATCTTAATGAAGCTGTTTAATTGAAAAACTGGGAATTCCTGAATCTCAAGGTTGGGTCTTAAGGCTAACTGTCTGTGACTTCAGACCATGGTTGTATCCCCTGGGGGAGGAGTCTGATAGACTAGCAGATACTTCCTGTGTGAAGATTCCAACTACAGCCTTCTAAAGAATTCTTAGTTTCATCCTTGCCTGGTACTGTACATGTTATTTGGAATTCAGTTTATGAATGATTAATGAAAGAATGAATGAGTGATTCAGTGTGAGGGTATCAGCTTAATCCTTTTCTGGATTATTAAAATCAAATGGGGAAATAAAGTATTTAAAAAATGGAATACTGCACAAGCAAAGAGATGCCTTGGTAGCAAGTAAGTGCAAACCAAGGAAATTAAGAATCCAAAAATAAAAGTATCTTGAGAGGGATTTGTAGGGCAGAAGTAAGATGTTCTTTAATAGAATAAAGACGAGGAAGCATTGGGATTACTTACTTATGGTGCAGAAAATAAGAATGTTTTTTCCTTCCTGTTTATCACAGTGGAAAGGGAAGTCCTAAGAAAATCAGGCCTATGTGAGGTCATTGTATCTCCAGAGATGTATTCCTGATACTGCAATTTATTACTAACATTATTAGGGTTTTATTAGCTAATGATTTCATCTTGTCATTCTTTAGGATAGTTCTTAAAGGTGGTGTTATTTGACTTACCCACCTCAACATCTCATTGGTCCTATAACCAGTTAATTCCATGTTTGTTCTTTGGAACACTTGCTGTAACTCAAAATATTAGCTAAAAAATAAAATGTTAATGACAAAAAAAAGAAACCCAATAAAATGCATTGGCTAGATCATAAAATACTGTGTGATCTCTTGGGCTGACATTTCTTTCTTTCTTTCTTTCTCTTTTTTTTTTTTTTTTTGCTTGTAGATGGAGACAATATCTTTATTGATTTATTTATTTTTATATGGTGCCAGGATTGAACCCAGTGCCTCACATATTCAAGGCAAGCGTTCTACTACTATGCTACAACCCAACCCCCAAGGACATTTCTTAGGACTCTCTGCTCTGCATTAGTAATATATATCACATACATACATTAAGCATAAAAATATTTCTGAGACAGTGCTAGAACCAGTTAAGTGGGGGAACTGCAATACTATATTCCTATATTTACTGTGAAAGGAATTTGGAAGAATCTGTTCTGTTTAGGACCTGGCTAGTCCTGAAATGTACAGAGTGTTCTAGACCTAATTGCAGATAAATTATTACTTTCTGTTGGTGGTAGTTCTTCATGGAAGAGCAGCATTCCAATGAATGGTCACTCTGCCAAGGGAAAGTTGTTCAGGGGACTTAAGAACTTAAAAGAAGGTTAGAAACTGGAGAATTAGAATGCTAGACACCAGTGAAAGATAACCTTCCACTGGAAAAGCTAAGCTTGGAATACTGAAGAACAAGAACAGTGGACACCTAGACCAACAACTCTTAGGAGGAAGTCTGATTTTCTCTCAGTGGGAAATCTTACATCTCTAAAGGAAAAATAAGTATGTGATTAATGTAGAAGCCTGTTGCTGTTGAGACAGGAATGGCATATTTTCATGTTTGGAAATGAACATCAATCTGGCAGAAAGAARCCAATACTCAGTGCAGACAATTAAATGGCAATAACACTTTAACCTATAATATATCCAACTGAAATTCCTTTTTTAAAATTCCTTTTTTGAATTCACCCTGAAGTGAGACCCTGTGAGTTTAAGTGGAGATTGTTTCACATCTGAAATAGGACCAGCCTGCTTTCTTCTTGGTTTGGTGCTTCACCTAAGCTGTAGAATTATAGTGCATCTTTTATGAGCTTCACATATTCCTCCCTATTGTGAATTATAAACTATCCTGAATTCTTCCTCCATATCTTTTTTTTTCTTTTACTCTTTATTTTTACTTATTGTAGCTCAGTGGTAGAGCACTTGCCTAGCATGTGTGAGGCACTGGGTTCGATCCTCAGCACCACATAACAATAAATAAAATAAAGATATTGTTTTCTTTTTTTTTTTTTTGAATTTTTTAATATTATATTTATTGGCGGACACAACATCTTTGTTTGTATGTGGTGCTGAGGATTGAACCTGGGCCGCACGCATGCCAGGCAAGCGCGCTACCGCTTGAGCCACATCCCCAGCTCCAAAGATATTGTTTTCATCTACCACCACCAACACAAAAAATCTAAAAAGGTTTTTTTTTTTTTTTTTTTTAAATTTTGAGACAGGATCTTGCTAAATTCCTGGGCTTGAACTTGGGATCCTCCTGCCTCAGCCTCCTGGGATTACAGGCATTCACAACCACAACTGGTTTATCTTTCATTCTTTTTTGGGGGTGGTAGGGTGGGTACTGGGGATTGAACTTAGGGGCACTTAACCACTGAGCCACATCCCCAAGCCCTTTTCTTTTTGGTATTTTATTTGGAGACATGGTCTCATTGAGTTGCTTACTGCCTTRCTATTGTTGAGGCTGGCTTTGAACTGAGGATCCTCCTGCCTCAGCCTCCTCAGCTGCTGGGATTATAGATGTGCCACYGTGCCTGGGTTATCTTTCATTCTTTAAAGTCAGATTTTACTTTCTTTAAAGGAGGTATGAAGAAAACACTTCAGGATGAGATTGAAGCCATTCTGAGGAAGAGGATTATGGTGCTTGATGGCGGAATGGGGACCATGATCCAGCGGTACAAGCTAAGTGAAGAAAAGTTCCAAGGTCAAGAATTTAAAGACCATGCCAAACCACTGAAAGGCAACAATGATATTTTAAGTATAACTCAACCTGATATCATTTACCAAATCCATAAGGTAATTTTTCTAGCTTCTTAACGTTCTCTCAAACTGTTTCATGTACCGAGTCAGAACACTCCTGTGTGCTCTGGAGAATACAGAAGAAAGAAGATTTATTTTTTTATTTTATTTTATTTTTTTAAAGAGAGAGTGAGAGAGAGAGGGGAACAGAGAGAGAGAATTTTAACATTTATTTATTTTTTCTTAGTTCTCGGCGGACACAACATCTTTGTTTTTGTATGTGGTGCTGAGGATCGAACCCGGGGCCGCACACACGATAGGCGAGCGAGCTACCGCTTGAGCCACATCCCCAGCCCCGAAAGATGATTTATTAAGAAAGCTGGTGTGGGATAGAAAATAAAGTGTTTTAGTGTTTAGTATTTGGGATAAACAGATAAGAAGTAGTTGGTTTTATGCTTTTGAGGAAAACTCCAGTGAAGAACCCTAAAATTCTGGCAAATTAAGGGTTCACTACCTTGTTTAAGTTACTGACACAGCTCTTAAGAAGAAATCTCAAAAGATGGTATCTTAGTTGATTTGGGCTGCTGTGATAAATTAGACTGGAAGGATTAAACAACTGTATTCTTTTTTTTTACGGTTCTTGGGATTGAAGTGCCAGCTATGGGCCCTCTTCCTATTCACAGATAACCATCTTCTCATTGTGTCCTCACGTGGTGGACAGCAGAAAGAGAAAACAAAGTCTGTGTCTTATAAGAGCAGCTATGTTGTAAATATYGGTGTACCCCTAAGAGTCACCTGTTAAATCCTAATGCCCAATGTGATGGTGGTAAGAGGCGCTCTGTTAATAGAGGGAGCTCATTCAACTCTTCCATGTGAGGGCACAGTAGGAAGATGTCCTCTGTGAACCAGGAAGCAGGTCCTCACCCATTACAAAATCTCAAGGCATAACTACCATTCATGTATTCTAGTTGATTTTTCATCTAATTTTCTAGTGAGGCATGATAGTGCAGGCTTGTAGTCCCAGTGACTTGGGAGGCTAAGGCAGGAGGATTACAAGGTCAAGGCTAGTTTTAGCAACTTGAAGCCCTTAGTAATTTAKTAAGAYCATGTCTCAAACGGGCTGGGGTAGTAGCTTGGTATAGTACTCTATGGTTTGAACCCTGATACCAAACAAAATAAACAAAACCCCTAATAACATTTTGTCTACTTTTCTGCACTTGGATTTTTAAAAATTAAGTTGAATTTTATTGCTTCATACTATTTTATAATTTGTAGTTTTTACTTATATACCATTAGCATTAAATGTTCTAAAACATGGCTTTATAATTTCATAATAACCTATTTGCTTAATTAATCTGTTATTCATAGGCATTAAGGTTGTTTTTCATTTTTCTTGTTCTTTGTTAAAAAATTAAATTTTAAAATTCATTCTTATACAACAAAACCCAGTGATAAGAATAAATTCCCATCAATTACTCCACATTGCTATTTTTTTCCCCCAGAGATAGCTACTCTTAGTTGCTCTCTGTCTTTTCAGATCCTTGTGTTATATGTTTATACAGTTATTTATGTATGTGTAGGAACTGTTAGTACACATGTGTTTTAGTAGTATCATCTTTACATATTATTCTGTTTTGGTTTTCTTTTTTTTTTGATAGTGGGGATTGAACCCAAGGCAACTCTGTCTACTACTGAACTACATCCCTAGCCCTTTTTATTTTGAGACAGATTCTCCCTAAGTTGCTTAGGCTGACCTCAAATCTGTGATCTTCTTGCCTTAGCTTCCCAAGTTGCTAGAAKTAAATGTGTGTGCCACCACGCCTAGCTTTATTTTGTTTTTCTATTGAACAATACTTTGAAAGATCTTCATATGTAGGATATGGAGATTTTTAAAAAGCTTTATTTTTTTAGCTGTCACATGGCTGGTAATAAAATGAATATATAATTTATTTAGCTGTCTTCCTGTTGACAGTATTTAGGGTGTTTGTGACTTATAGTTGTTACATTTGTGTTTATGTTGTTTTTCATTGCCTAGCTTTTTTGCAAACATTGTTCATCAGCTTAGGAAGGATTGAATTTACTTATTGTTGGAAAATCAGGGGGATTGAGAGATTCCAGGGCATTAGATTGAGATTGAATTCGTATCCAAAGAATGAAATCAGGAAGATGGGTTTCAAACAGGGAGAACAAACTGTATGGTATTAGAGTCCTTAAGGTTCCAGTAAGGGTGCAGGTTTGGGCCAGAGAGAATAGGAGATGTGGATTAAAAAGAGGGTCTGAATTGAGTTCTCACTGATGGTGCAGTTTTCATTGGGAATCAGGGTGCTGAAGCAGGGAGAAGGTAAGGGGTCAGAATTGATGTTTGTTGAGTGCCCAAGATGTGCCAGACATGTGAAGTGTTACCTTGTATTATACAGCTGCACTGATTGAAGAAGAGGGTTGTAGTACTTTCAGATGAGGAGACTGGGACTGAGACTTGAAGGAACTTGACAGAATTTATATAACCTTAGTGTGTTAACTTCATCTGACTGAAAGTTCTGTGCTTATTTCTTGAAACACATGCCTTTTTGTGAAATCCTTATACCTTCCTGTGTCTCTAGTTTCTGACGCACTGTTTTACCCTTAGTAAGTAATCAAAAGGTGGTTGGCAGTGATGGTGATGAAAGGATGTGTTTATTTTGGGGGGACAGGGACTCTGAACTGAGAATTGATATGATTGTGTTGTTGCAGGAATACTTGGTGGCTGGAGCAGATATCATCGAAACAAATACTTTTAGCAGCACTAGTATTGCCCAGGCTGACTATGGCCTTGAACACTTGGTAAGAACTTCACTTTTCCTCCCATTTGAGAAGCTTATGAGCTTTTGCTGTGTTGGTAGTTGCTAGTAAGAAAATCATTTGAAGCTGCAGGATGAAGCTAATGGCTTGTTTCTGTTGTTTGTGGTGATACATGGAAAATAGTTTGAAACTTTTCTGCTTATGAGCAAAGCAACCCATTCATTTTCCAAATGGTTTCTTTTATGAACAAGTAATAATCAAATACAAATGATGCTTGTTTTGCAGTTGCTTTTGGTAAAGTCATAATCATTGTGTRCACCTGTAGATAATATGTAGATAAATGGTTATGACTGCATTCCAGAAAAACTTTATTTATAAAAATAGGGCCTGGATTGCCCATGAGCCATACTTTGCTAACCACACTTAGGATATTATGGTTTCTTAATTATCTGATGTGAGGATCCAAGGCACATGGATCTTAAGAGTTGAAAGAGATCATGAAGTTCACAAACCTGGCATGTGGAAGGGCTCTTGAAGAGACCCAGACCTCCTTAACTTCCAGGCCACACTGTGTGTGTATGTGCTTATTTCCCCATAAGATGGTTCATGGTTCCTTATCAAATTCTATTTTTTAAAAATATTTTTTAGTTGTCAATGGACCTTTATTTTTTTTAAATGTATTTATATGTGGTGCTAAGAATCGAACCCAGTGCCTCACACATGCTAGGCAAGCACTCTACCATTGAGCCACCACCCCATACCCCTTTATCAAATTCTTAAGAGGCTAATAATCTGCAGAAAGTTTAGAACTACTCATTCAGCCATTTTACAGTGAAGGAAATCAGGACCAGGGAAAGTTGCTATGGGATTGTCTGGCCAGGCAGTGACAGAGCTAGACCTAGAACCTAGGTCTAAGCCTCTGTTTTCCCCATTACTGTTTTTCGTAATTTGCAGAATATATAACTATACCAGTTATTCTGTGGCATGCCAGGTGTCCAGTGGTTTTTTTTTTTTTTTTTTTTTTTTTTTTTTTTTCCCAGCTGGCTTATGGTTTGGGAGAAGATCCTTTTAGAAGAAGTTCCCAAGGACTTGCCATTCCCTACTATCTTTTGAGGCTAGGGTAACTGATANTTTTTTTTTTTTTTTTTTTTTTTTTTTTTTTTAACCAGCTGGCTTATGGTTTGGGAGAAGATCCTTTTAGAAGAAGTTCCCAAGGACTTGCCATTCCCTACTATCTTTTGAGGCTAGGGTAACTGATAGATCTTCTTGGTTAAGTTTTCACTTTGATCTCACATTAATTCACTTTACGTTTATTGTCTGAACACAACTAGGTATTAGATGGCTATATAGATGCTTTATTTATTGCATGGAGGAAAAGCAGGACAAACTAACGTTAGTGGTTGATATATTAGGCTTACCGGATGAACAAGTGCTCTGCAGGTGTGGCCAGAAAAGCTGCTGAAGAGATAACTCGACAGACAGGTAAAGGATGCTCTCCTTTCTTTCTTGCACAATGATTGCTTCAGTGTTCTTGGCTATAATGTGTTGTTCTTACTGCAGTTTTCCTTACATGACCTTTGGCCTATGAGCAATTGTAGATACTGTATTTTAATTTGTTTGTAGGTTGCTTCTCTGCAGTTTCATAATGAAGTACTCATCATCCCTGCTGTCATGCTATTTCTGTGGGCCTTGGACTCGTTTTTTTTTTTTTTTTTTAAAACCCTGCCATTGTTTATAGTCTGACTTTGTAGCTAGGCCCATTATTTTCCTGTGAAAGAGCTATAATCCTTTTTCTCCCTGTGGAAGCCCCTCATCAGGTTCTTAAWGGTTTAGCTGCCTGATTTGATTATTTTTGTTATCATTAGGACATTTGATGTTATCACTGTAAAGCCACCCTGCTCCCAGGGCTGGCTTATTTAAGCAAAGGGGATGCCTTTGGAGCATTTTCCACTTTATCCTACTAATGACCTTGAAGGCACTGCAGCACACATAAGAGGGCTTAGATTCAGTCTTACTGAGACTTGAAAAGTGTTCTGAAATAACTAACCTCCTATAGGTTGCCCTCAGAACATTGGTGGGAGAATTTTAAGAGAGAGATGGAATAGAGGAAATAAACGGAGCCCTTTAGGAGTTGGAAATGTGAAGTTATTGCCAATAGAAAATATATAATGCAGAATTGTTAGGAAGTTAGGCAAGCATATTAATGAAAACCAAATCAGCTTAATGGGAACTCTGTTTCTGAGAGATAAAGTTTAAATCCACAGTAATGTATGGACAGGTCAGAGGATACTGAACCAGCTGAAGCAGGGAGAGATAAGGACATTTTTCTTACACTGTATTATTGCTAAGCTTTGCAGAAGATAAAAAATATTTGGGCCTGTAGCCTTCTCACAAGCTGGGTTATTAACTAGTTGTAGTCTTCTCCAGTTTAGTCCTACAGCACAGCCCAGGTCATTGAGTGGCTACAGTCACCAGAGGCAGTGAGTGGTGTGATATGCAGATGAGAACAACATCTCCATGTGGCCCAGAGGCAGGGTTATTAAAGAATTGTTAAAGCAATATTAAATATGCTTCATACCTGAATTTCAAGTTTTATAATTATTAATTTTCACTTAAACATTTCAGGTTAAGATCAGGATCTTCAAGATTTCTTTTTTATTATATTTATTTATTTTTTTAGTTGTTGATGGATCTTTATTTACTTATATGCAGTGCTGAGAATCAAAYCCAGTGCTTTACACATGCTAAGCAAGTGTTCTACCACTGAGTTACAACTTCAGCCCCTCTTCAAGGTTTCTTAAGAATGGGGAGACAATTTGTCCAAACATAGCGAGGTGGTAGGAAAGGATTACTTATAGAAAGACTTGGAGGTTGCATGTGTGAGGATTTAGTTGTTTTGATTGGCTTGGTGAGAATATTTAAATATCCCCTGTAGTCCATGATTTTCCCAGGGAGTCTGGGGCAGCCCCCATAACCAAACATGTATTAGCAGAATCTGTGAACAAGTGCACTAAAAGGCAAAAAGACTCTAAACAGCTGTTTATTACTTCATTAGAAGGCAGGTTTGTTGTCAATTCAATTAAGAAAAAAAATTTGGGCTTTGAGAGCTTTTTAGATTTTGAGTTGTGGGCAAAGCCCTGTGTTCTATGAGAAGTCTTATAGCCTATTAGTTTACAACAAAAAGATTTGAGTTGTTAGAGAATTTATTCTTGTTTTTCTTTTCCCAAAGGAATCAAGAGGTTTGTTGCAGGAGCTCTGGGCCCAACTAATAAGACACTCTCTGTGTCTCCATCTGTRGAAAGACCAGATTTTAGGAACATCAGTGAGTATTTATGACACATAATCAGGGACCTTGGGAAAGTACCCTTGTGCTTTAGTAATCTGTAAAGTGGGGACAGTAACAGGATTTACTTCAGAGATATTGTGATTTCATCTATGAAAAGGGCTTACAGTATAGTGTTTTGAAATATGGTGGATATCTAAATAAAAAGCTCTTATTATTTGAGCTTGCTTTCAGATGTATATGGTGATTTGTTAGTTGTTCTTTATCATCTATTGAAACAAAACCAATTGTAAGAAAGTTTYGAAGTGAAAACTTGAGCACATCTGAATACCAGCTCTTAGTATATTATAAAAGACCCAGTATATTGCCATTTAATTTAGTAATACAAACTATCTAAATGTACTAGTATTATAAAATTAAAAACTAGTATATGTAAATGTACTTTATTCTGATTTGACCCGAAACTCAGGAATCTAAGTCAGTGTCTAAGCATCAAGACTACAAAAAACAAAAAGAATTAAACTTTTCAGRCTGAATACTAACAATACCATATGTGGTAATGCATTTTGTATAGATGACAATTTCACACAATTACAGTTTGTTGGTTTTTGTTACAGCACTTTGCATGTTGTGATACTGCACTATGTGTATGTGATTAATGGTCTCTCTGGTCTAGATAGGACAGTGGGGAAATAACCTCTCCTCCTCCTGTGCTGTGTAAGGTCAGGTATACTTAAAACACAGTGAGCATAACTTTGCTACTTAAGCTTCTCTCATAGAACRCCTAAGTATTTTTTTCAGTTTTGGTTGGGAGATAAAATGGGGAGAGGGATAACTACCTCTCAGGTGAATATAGACAGCACAGTACATTTCTAGCAAATATTTTACCTGGGAGTAAAATTTTGTTTGAGATCAAGATTGCCCATCAGAGAGATTGCCTCTCTGAAAGAGTTGACCTAAAAGGATTGAGTGAAAATCACAGGAGTGTAGCCTTTTACCCCAGAGTGTGAGAGTTCAAGACAACTTGTGTTGTATCCAGATTATGTTTCTTACCCTCCAGAGATCTCTCTTAATTGATTGATTAGAATGATTTTTTAGGGTTGGACATGGTGGCGCATGTCTGTAATCCTGGTGGTTCCGGAGGCTGAGGGAGGAGGATCTAAAGTTGGAAGGTAGCCTCAGCAACTTAGTGAGGCCCTGTCTCAAAATAAAAAATGAGAAGGGCTAGGGATGTGGTTCATTGGTTAAGTGCCCCTGGGTTCAATACCTGAGACCAAAAAAAAAAAAAAAAAAAAAGTCTTTGAGAAAAATGTATTTTAAAGAGTTGAGAATAAAGTACATGGTTTAGGAAATTGACACACCTTCCTACTCACTCCTAACTTATCCATGGGAAGGAGGTCATGTGGAAAGTATTCAGAAACAGGTGTGTTCAGTTTGCTTGTTTTCCTCCTGTCACTGCCATATTTCTTTTTAAATTCTCTTTTTTCTATCACTGTGTTATTTCTTTATTTGGTTTCTTATAGACATTGTGTTTTAGCCGGCCATGATGGCACTCATCTATGATTCCATCAACTCCAGAGGCTGAGGCAGGAGGATCACAAGTTTGAGGYTATCCTTGGTAACTTATTGAGATCCTGTCTCAAAAACAAACAAACAAACAAACAAAAAACGAATGGGATGTAGGTCAGTGGTCAAGCATCCCTGGGTTCAATACCCAGTACTGAGGGAAAAAATGTTTTTTGTTTTCAACAGATGCATTATAAGCCAGCATTGGGTTCAGTGTGCTAGCCCTGAAGTCACCTTACCTGAGTGCAGTTCAGAGGATGTTGGTGACTGATATGATGGRTGTGACTTATTGTTTTGCAGCGTTTGATGAGCTTGTTGAAGCATACCAAGAGCAGGCCAGAGGACTTCTGGATGGTGGAGTTGATATCTTACTCATTGAAACTATTTTTGATACTGCTAATGCCAAGGTGAGTTAAGGTAGAAAAGAGACAAGGTGTGGGTAGAGGGTATGATTAATCTCTCTCTCCCTTTTTTTTTTTTTTTTTAAGGTGGACACAATATCTTTATTTTACATTTATGTGGTGCTGAGGATCAAACCCAGTGCCTCGTGCATGCTAGGCAAGCTCGCTACCACTGAGCCACAACCCCAGCCCCATGATGAATCTCTTAATGTAGTAAGAAGATAATGGCCATTACAATTTCAAAAGAACAGTTTTTAGCATTTAAAATGTTTTTCTCATTATGAAAAWTTTTTAATATATTTTATTTTTTTCAATACCTTTATTTAATTAATTAATTWATTTATTTTTTATGTGGCTTCACRTGTGCTACTTGAGCACTCTACCACTGAGCCACAACCCCAGCCCTCATTATGAAAATATTTGCATACATAATTGCTATGTGTGCATATATGCATATGTGATGTTTGCATGCTCTTGATTGTGAATTCAAAAGGTATATAAATACATGGGATGAAAAGTAGATATTCTCCCTTCTAGTCCTGGGTATCTAGATTTCCTCCTGGAAATAGCTGCTATTACCAGTTTGGGGGTCTTGACAGAATTTCTATACAGATATAAGCATGCATGTAGTGTGTGTGTGCATTTATGTTTTGTTTCTTACATATGTATAACACATAATTGTATAGAGTGCAAAGTAAATGTCCTTATATGTATGTGTTTGCATACATAGCAATTATGTATGCAAATGGGCTTATATTATCAGTACTGTTTTGTCTCAGCAGTGAACCAGCCCGTAGTAGAACCATAATTTTAGCTTGAGAATTCCAATCAGTTTTCTCTTTTTTTTAAATTAATTTTAAAAATTTATATATGACAGTGGAATGCATTACAATTCATATTACACATATAGAGCACAATTTTTCATATCTCTGGTTCAATCCCCAGCACCAAAGTATACAGAGTATATTCACAACAAATTGTGTCTTCATATATGTACTTTGGATAATAATGTCCATCACATTCCACCACATTCCCATGCTCCCTCCCTTCTCCTCCCATCTCTCTGCCCTATCTAGAATTCATCTAATCCTCCCATGTTCCCCTTTCCTATCCCACTATGAATCAGCCTCCTTATATCAGAGAAAACATTTGGCATTTGTTTTTTTGGGATTGGCTGACTTTTTTAGCATTATCTTCTCTAACTCCATCCATTTACCTGCAAATGCCATGATTTTATTCTTTTATTGCTGAGTAATATTCCATTGTGTATATATGCCATATTTTTTTTTTTTATCCATTCATCTATTGAAGAGCATCTAGGTTGGTTCCACAGTTTAGCTATTGTGAATTGTGCTGCTATAAACATTGATGTGGCTGTGTCCCTGTAGTATGCTGTTTTATTTAAGTCCTTTGGGTATAGACTGAGGAAAGGGATAGATGGGTCAAATGGTGGTTCCATTCCCAATTTTCCAAGCAATCTCCATACTGCTTTCCAAATTGGCTGCACTAGTTTGCAGTCCCACCAGCAGTATATGAGTGTATCTTTTTCCCCACATCCTCACGGACACTTATTGTTGTTTGTATTCTTAATAGCTGCCATTCTGACTGGAGTGAGATGAGATCTTGGAGTGGTTTTGATTTGCATTTCTGTAATTGCTGGCAGTGATGAACATTTTTYACATATTTGTTGATGGATTGTGTATCATCTTCTGAGAAGTTTCTGTTCAGGTCCTTAGCCCATTTATTGATTGGATTATTTGTTTTTTTTGTGCTTAGCTTTTTGAGTTCTTTAAATACCCTAGAGATTAGTGCTCTATCTGATGTGTAAGGGGTAAGATTTGCTCTCCAGATGTAGGTTCTCTATTCACCTCACAGATTGTTTCTTTTGCTGAGAAGAAACTTTTTAGTTTGAATCCATCCCATTTATTGATTCTTTCTTTTTTTTTTTTTAAAGAGAGAGAGAGGTTTTTAGTATTTATTTTTCAGTTTTCGGTGGACACAACAGCTTTATTTTATTTTTATGTGGTGCTGAGGATTGAACCCAGCGCCCTGCTCATGCAGGCTAGCGCGTTACCGCTTGAGCCACATCCCCAGCCCCCCAATTTATTGATTCTTGATTTTAATTCTTGCACCAAAGGAGTCTTATTAAGGAAGTTGGGGCCTAATTCCACATGATGGAGATTAGGGCCTACTTTTTCTTCTGTTAGACGCAGGTTCTCTGGTTTTATTCCTAGGTCCTTGATCCATTTTGAGTTGAGTTTTGTGCATGGGAAGAGATAGGGGTTTAATTTCATTTTGTTTCATATGGATTTCCAGTTTTCCCAGCACCATTTGTTGAAGAGTCTTATCTTTTCTCCAATGAATATTTTTGGCACCTTTGTCTAAATAAGATAATTATAATTTTGTGGGTTAGTCTCTGAGTCCTCTAATGTGTACCATTGTTTTGGTGCCAATACCATGCTGTTTTTGTTACTATTGCTCTGTAGTATAGTTTATAGATCTGGTATAGTGATGCCACCTGTTTCACTCTTCCTGCTAAGGATAGCTTTAGCTATTCTGGGGCTTTTATTTTTCCAGATGAATTTCATGTTGCTTTTTCTATTTCTATGAGGAATGTCATTGGAATTTTGATCGGAATTGCATTAAATCTGTGTAGTGCTTTTGGTAGTATGGTCATTTTGATAATATTAATTCTGCCTATTCAAGAGCAAGGTAGCTCTTTTCATGTTCTAAGGTCTTCTTTGATTTCTTTCTTTAGGCTTCTGTAATTTTTATTATATAGATCTTTCACATCTTTCATTAAGTTGATACCCAAGTATTTTATTTTATTTTTTGAGGCTATTGTAAATGGGGTAGTTTTCCTCATTTCCCTTTTTGAGGATTTGTCACTGATATACAGAAGTGCATTTGATTTATGGATGTTGATTTATAAATGATCATMGATACAGAGGAAATGCTCCACTATCTAATTGTTAAGTAGAGATACTTAAATGCTTTATTTTATTTTAATTTTTTTTGGTACCCGGGATTAAACCCAGGTGTGCTCAACCACTGAGCTGTATCCCCAGCCCTTTCTGTTTTTTATTTTTGAGACAGGGTCTCACTAAGTTGCTAAGGCTGGTCTTGAACTTGTCTCAGCCTCCAAAGTTGCTGGGATTACAGGTATGTGCCACTGTGTCTGACACCATATCACCTTTTCCCCCCACATTTTAAAAAAATTTATTATTTATTTTATTAAGAAGTTGTTGAACACAATACCTTTATTTTATTTATTCTTATGTAGTGCTGAGGATCGAACCCAGGCCTCACACATGCTAGGCAAGMGCTCTACTGCTGAGCCACAACCCCAGCCCCTCCCTCACATTATTTTATTGGTGTATTATAGTACATATTGATGAGCTTTGTTGTTACGTATTTGTACATTCACACTAGGTAATAATCACTATATCAGCTAATATCACTCCCCAGCATTASCCTGTCCCATTTTCTACCCTTTGATCCCTTCCTCTATTGATGTTTCTCTGATTTTTAGGAGATTCATCCCTGCCTTTCTTTTCCTTTTTCTTCTGTATCTTCTGTGTGAGAGAATACATTCTACTGTTAATCTTTTAAGTTTGACATATTTTGCTTAACATGATGGTCTCTAGTTCCATCCATTTTCCTGCAAATGACATAATTTTATTCTTTATGGCTGAGTAAAACTCCACATTTTCTTTTTTTTTTTTCTTTTCTTTTTTTTAAAGAGAGAGTGAGAGAGGAGAGAGAGAGAGAGAGAATTTTTTTAGTATTTATTTTTTAGTTCTCGGCGGACACAACATCTTTGTTGGTATGTGGTGCTGAGGATCCAACCCGGGTCGCACGCATGCCAGGCAAGCGTGCTACCGCTTGAGCCACATCCCCAGCCCACTCCACATTTTCTTTATCCATTCATCCATTGATGGATACCTTGGCAGCTTCCATAGTTTGTTTATTGTGAATTGTGTTGCTATAAGCATGGGATGCTTGTATCACTGTAGTAAGATGACTTTAATTTTTCAGGATAAATATCAAGAAGTGGTATAGCTGGGTCATATGGTGTTCCCATGCCTAGTCTATTGAGGAGCCTCCATACTGATTTTCATAGTGTTGTACTAATTTACAGTCCCATCAACAGTATAAAAGTGCTCCTTTTTCTTCACATCCTCTCCAGCATTTATTAATATTTGTATTCTCTATGACTGCCATTCTGACTAGTGTGAGATGAAATCTCAGTGTCATTTTGATTTGTGGCATACTTTTGATTATAGAGGTTTTTCTTATGATGCCTCTGGAATTTATTTTGGAGTAAGAAATAGGATTGAGATCTTTTTTTTTTTTTTTTTTTAACTAAGGTTACCTGTTTTTCGTAACACTATTTATTAAACATCTTATTGTTTCCCAGTAATAGGAATGATGTGGAATGTCACTCTTACCCAAAATTCCCAAGTTAATTTGGGTTTAGTCTTTTTCAGAAATCCGTCTGCTGATATGACAGTACCACGCTGTTTATCATAGCATCAGAATATGTCTGAGTGGGCTTAGTTTCTTTTCATTAACCCCACCTTTTTTACAGAACTTTTCTCATGCTTGTTTTCCATAAGATTTTTAAATTGATTTTTCTAATTGTAAAGAGGAAATTTAAATATTGTGATTTAATAACTTTCCATGAAAAAAAAAAAAAACACCTACTATCATAGGGAAGGTGCACATTAACTGCAGGTTACATTCTAATTTCAGAAATTAATTGTGAAAATGTGTACATCTTTGATTCAGGAATTATAGAAAGAAAGGACAGATCAATTGTTGGCAACTTAAAATATAGACTGACAAGCACAGGGTAACATTGGATTCATAGCTTTATAACCCAGTCCAAGCTCGCCACAAAAAGACATGTTTTTTTTTTTTTTTTTCACTGAAGCACACTGGGTCCAGAAAGGGACCCTGTGGTTGGGCATTATAAGGAAGGTACTTTTCGTTTCCCCAGAGAGTTCTGGATGTGTCACATCTGAAGAGGCCTTGGGATAGGGTGTCATCTTATCAGGCAGTCAGAGTGACCTTGGATACATTATTCTCCTGGCAGTAAAGATGTTTTTTGTTTTACCCCTGACAGGCAGCCTTGTTTGCACTCCAGAAACTTTTTGAAGAGAATTATGCTCCCCGGCCTATCTTTGTAAGTTCCAAAATATTTTGCATGACATATTCTTGTTTTTTGTTAATAATTGTCATTTTGAATATAACCCCTAGCCCCCTTCCCCTCCCCAAAATAGAATGATTGACGTTATCTTTTGGAAACCGTTTAGTTTAACTTCTTCTGTTCACCTTCCTTCTACACTACCAACTCATTGCAGGTGGGCAGCTCACAAGAAGCCCCCTTAAAGCCAAAGGCTTAAAGACCCAGTCTCATTAGGGCCAAGGAGGGATGGGCTTGCATGCTGAATGCCAAGTATCCAGCACTGACGATGTTAGACCCCAAGGCATTAACTCAAGGCAGGCCTCTGAGAGACCTGCTCGGTGAGCATATGACAGAATCAAAACAAGGGTGTTAGATAAATCAGGTATTTAACAGCAGAAGGCTGGGATAACCTGATAACTCCTCCAACGGATCTGACATGGATGTGTGATATATTTTTTTTCTTTTTTTTTCCTAATACTGGGGATTAAACTGAGAGCCCCACAAGTGCTAAGCAAATACTTTGCCACTGAACTGTACTCCCAGTCCTGCTTTTTTTTTCAGGCCTAGGACTAAACTCAGGGTGTTGTGCGTGCTAGGCAAGCATTCTGCTGCTGAACTAAATCCCCAAACCCACGCCCCACCCTTTTAAAAAAATTTTTGAGACAGGGTCTCACTGACTTGCCCAGACTGGTCTTGAACTTTTAATCCTGCCTCAACCTCCCAAGCAACTGGAATTAACACTCCCAGGTGGATATGTGATGACTTCTACTGTTGGGGCATTGATTTTTGCCTCATTGACTTTCCCTTTTCTGTTTCTGTGACTTTCTGCCTCCTCCCCTGGCCACTTGGCATATATCCGTTCTGATCCTTCTGGAAAGTGCTGAATTTGAATTTCACATTTCTCTTCCTAGTAAAAGAATAAGGAATACTGGTCTATTCATTTTATTTTGTTTTTGGAATTATATTCTTTACCTGAATCTATACTGTTGACTTTGTTTCCTTTATTAATTCAGATCTCAGGGACAATTGTTGATAAAAGTGGACGGACTCTTTCTGGACAGACCGGAGAGGCATTTGTCATCAGTGTGTCTCATGCAGACCCACTCTGGTGAGTGACTCCCTTCCTTGACTCCTTTCTTCTTTGGCAGATCTTTTCTAATAGTTACACATATGACCTGGGTGGGGATTACTTCCCCATAATTCCCTTGTACTACTTCTGAGATGTGTTGACTGTCCTTAGATACTTTCAGACTGTTTCTCAAGGGCTTCAGAACTACCAAAATGAGTCACTTGAGGTACTGGGAAAGCTGTCCTACCTCTAGGCAGCCAAATGCCTTTCGTCTGTAGGTACCCCCTTGTAGTTAAGACTGTGCTTGGCTAGGTAACACTTTTATCAGTCAGTTACATTTTTGGGGCAATGCTTTGCAAATTTAAGGGTAATATCCTTTCCCTATTTATGGGGCAATCAGAAGAATCCTAACTTGAAGTAAGGTGGGAAGCTCAGGTTTTTATCTTTTATCAATCTTATAGACTGAAGGGGTATTTAGAAGGCAGCCTTCAAAATGAAGTCCATATGTAAGGAACTATTACTCACTGACTCATGGTTATCACAGACTACCTATTAACAAAGAACAAGCAGGCAGAACCCTGTATTACTAATACAGCACTTATTGAAATCCTTCTGTGTGCCTTGAGTGTTGGCATATGTGAAGTAGTCCACACTTGGAGAAATAAATTTTGTAAGTTGAAAGATAAAATACAAAGCACTGTACAAAAATGTGAAAAAAAATCTTGCTATATATAGAGAGATGGCTCTGTAGAGAAGGTGTTATTTGAGCTATGTTGGAAAAAAAAATAAGAGTTTGCTAAGCACAGAGGGGCAGGATAGATCATSAGAATAAGTTCATGTCAGTTTTGTAGATGTATAGTCTACAAAATGTTTCTATATATGATGTTTCATTTGAATTTCAACATAACTCTGAAAACTTGAGTTTCTTATTCTTAGTTGATGGAATTATTCCTATCATTCAACAGATGAAGAACTGACTGTTGAATAGACAAACTTGGGCTGGGTGCAGTGGCATCTGCCTGTAATCCTAGCTACTTGGAAGGCCAGAGTAAGAAGATCACAAGTTCAAGCCCAGCCTGGGAAATTTAGCAAGATCCTATCTCAAAATAAAATATAAAAAGGGCTAGGGATTTAGTTCAGTTGTAGAGCATTTGTCTAGCATGCATAAGGCCTTGGGTTCAATTCCTGGTACCAAAAAAAAAAAAAAAAGTTAGGTTTGGAATTAAGTTTGGGAAAAAGTCAAACATACATTCTAATGATAACAGTGCTTAAATTCTTAAATATATATGTGTACACACACACACACACACACACA